GGACTGCCAGACCTACTGATTATGTGGGCCCTGAATCTGTCTCCTTCCCCTGGGCTTTGAGAACTCCTTAGCATCCATCCCTGACCTAGACTGCTTCTGGGCTACCCCTGCTCTCCACTGAGGTTCCCTCATCTGGGCAGGCACATCACACACCAGACACCAGGACTCAAGCCCAGCAGACACAGGATCTGCTAACGCAGCTGGCAGCTGAGGTGGCTATCGATGAAAGCTGGAAAGGAGGCGGCCCAGGTAACCCCTCCACTGGCTCCCCAGGAACCTGCCCCACCTCTTTCCCCAGATGGGAGAGGCTCTGCTATTCACCCCCTGGGAGATGAATATAAATCAGAGTGATCAACATTATAAGACCATTCATTGAGTGCTTACTCTACAGGGAGCCAGTGCAAGCCTAGTGTTTAAGTGCACGGGCTTTAGAATCAGTCATTCCCAGTTCTACCACGTATTAGCTGTGTGACACTGGACAAGTTACTTGACCTCAGTCTCACTTTCCTCATGTGTAAAATGAAGGTATATATGGAAAAACCTGCCTCACAGGGAGGTCATGAGGAGTAAATGAGAAAACCAGTAAGTGCTTGGGACCATACCTGACTCATAGTGAGCACTCAGTGAATATTCTCTGCAGTCATGATGTTGATAAGGAGGTAGAAGCTATTTAGCAGCACCAGGCACATCTCAATGCTCAGCAGCCACATGGGCTTCAGGTCTACCATCTTGGACAGCTCAGATAAAGAACATGATATGGAATGTTCCCATCATCGTGGAACATTTTATTAGACAGTGCTGTCTGAAGGTGTCAGAGCAGTATTTTTCAACGAAGGATGATTTTGCCCCCCAGGCTACTTGTGGCAACGTTTAGAGACTTTTGGTTGTCACAACTCAGAGAATATTCCTGGCACCTAGAGGATAGAAGCCAGGGATGCTACTAAATCTGTGGTGGCACAGGACAGCATATCACAGGGAAGAATTACAAAGATTGAGAAATCCTTCTTTAGAGGCACAATCTCATTGAATATCCTCAATAATCTCATGAGGCCACGTGTGGTGGCTCACACCTGTAATCCCAAGCACTTAAGGAGGCAGAGGCAGGAGGGGGGATAGCTGGAGCCCAGGAGTTTGAAACCTGCTTGGGCAACGTAGTAAGACACTGTTTTAAAAAAACAAAATCTTGGGCCGGGCGCGGTGGCTCAAGCCTGTAATCCCAGCACTTTCGGAGGCTGAGGCGGGTGGATCACGAGGTCAAGAGATCGAGACCATCCTGGTCAACATGGTGAAACCCCGTCTCTACTAAAAATACAAAAAATCAGCTGGGCATGGTGGTGCGTGCCTGTAATCCCAGCTACTCAGGAGGCTGAGGCAGGAGAATTGCCTGAACCCACAAGGCGGAGGTTGCAGTGAGCCGAGATCGCGCCATTGCACTCCAGCCTGGGTAACATGAGTGAAACTCTGTCTCAAAAAAAAAAAAAAAACTTGTTGTTTTTTTTCCTAAGACGGGTTTTGCCATGTTGGTCAGGCTGGTCTTGAACTCCCGACCTCAGGTGATCCACCCGCCTTGGCCTCCAAAGTGCTTGGATTACAGGCGTGAACCACCACGCCCGGCCAAAAAAACAAAATATTGTAAGGTATATACTATTCTTTTTCATAAATGAGGAAATAGGCCTGATGAGCTTGAGGAACTTGACCAAGGTCACACAGTTATTAAGCTGCAGAACCGAGACTTAAACCTAAACTGTGATTTTAAACCTCTTGCTCTGAAATGCTAAATTGAAGGTGACCGTGTCAGAGCCACACCTAGTCTGGCAAAATTCTTCCTGCCCAGTGATATACAAGCTCTTAGCTTCCTCCATTGCCCTTTCTGTGCTGATCTGTGTCAGCACAGAGAGCGCCTAGCACGCTGTCTGTGGTACCTCTTCATCCTGCCCTGAAAGGCAGAGACCTGCCGATCCTTTAGGGCAGTGATTCTCAAACCACAGGACACCCACCCTAAGGGCAGAATGTTAAAACATCAGGCAGATGTAGTTGAAAAAGACATGGCTAAGATTACTAGCTTTTTACATTTGCAAAATGGAGGAATACTGATTTTATTTGTAATAGAAACCATTAGGTGCTAGTGCTGATCAAAAAGCTGATGATCCGTGATTAGAAAGGGTTGAGAAATGGGCTCAATGGCTTCTGAGGAGAGATCTTGGAATGTCTCTGCCTCCCTGATGGCACTGCCCTTTCCAGCTGCTTCTCTCCAGAATGACCTCAACCAGGGTGGCCCAGGGAGCACTAATTCCAAGGGGCCGGCCAGCTGGTCCCTGGAGGAAGAGAAGAGCAGATTGCTGGCTGAGGCAGCACTTGAGTTGCGGGAGGAGAACACGAGGCAGGAACGGATCCTGGCCCTGGCCAAGCGACTGGCCGTGCTGCGGGGACAGGACCCCGAGAGAGGTGAAGGCTCGTGAGCAGCTGCTCACTGGTGTCCCTGGGTGAAGGCCTCCCTGGCAGGGTTGAGTGAGATGCTAGGGGTACCTGTGCCCAGAGATCTGCTGAGCCCAGCCCAGAGCTACAAGGAAGGTGGTGGAGCAAAGCAGCGGGTGAGGAGTCAGGGGCAGCCATGAGGGCAGGGGACTTTCAGTCCATTCAGGGGCTGAGGCTTCTGTTCCTACCCGTAACGCAGCCCTGAGGCCTGCTTCAGTGATGGCCCAGCCCTGTACGGCTGGCGCAGGCAGAGACAGGTCTCATCAAGGTGGCTGAAGAGCCTTCTCAGCTCTGGAATAAGTGCCCCTGGGAACCAAACCACTTCTGGGAGGCAGGAGGGCAGCCACTCAGGTGAAATCTCTCACCGTCACTCCCCCTTCCCCTGTTCCTGTCTCTCCCTCTTCAAGTCACCCTCCAGGACTATCGCCTCCCAGACAGTGATGATGATGAGGATGAGGAGACAGCCATCCAGAGAGTCCTGCAGCAGGTGGGCCTGGCTTATCTGCCCGCCACCCTGTCCCATCTCTCCACCTCATTGCCCCACCTCCACTCTGGGGCTGGGTGGGCAGTAACTGTTGCAGCCCTGTTCCCATCAGCCCCCCTTTGGCCCTTTGTCCCTGTGACCCAGACCGCCCACTGGTTCCTTGAGATACGGAATCAGCAGCCACAGGCCACAAATAAAGAAAAAGATGAGTTTGAGAAGCTAAGTCCACAGAGCACAGAAATACTGGGAGGTAGGGGGCCTGGGCTTGGAGCAGGGAGTGGTACCTCTTGATCTCATCCACAGCTCACTGAAGAAGCTGCCCTGGACGAGGCAAGTGGCTTTAACATCCCTGTGGAGCCGGCTTCTCAACACCGGACCCAACCCCTCGGGGTAGAGCCTGAGGTGAGAAAAGTCCCAGATGCAGACCCCCAGGCCGCCCACAGCCTTGTTTCCTGTCTGGCTGACGGCTCCCCCAGCAGCTCCCACACCCCACTGGGTACCTTACTTCTTCCATTCCTCTCTGGTCCCTGAAGGCCCAGGATGTAGACCCCAGGCCTGAGGCTGAGGAAGAGGAGCTCCCCTGGTGCTGCATCTGCAATGAGGATGCTTCCCTGCGCTGTGCTGGCTGCGATGGTGACCTCTTCTGTGCCCGCTGCTTCCGGTGGGTGCAGGTGGAATGTCCTGTGGGAGGGCTCAAGGGCTTCCTGGATCCCTAACTTGTATCCCTTTGTTCCACAGGGAAGGCCATGATGCTTTTGAGCTTAAAGAGCACCAGACATCTGCCTATTGCCCTCCGCGTGCAGGCCGAGAGCACTGACGACACCCTGGTTCTCCCGGAAAGGCAGTCCCACAGCAGGCAGCACTGGTTTCTGGGCCCAGCCACAGGATGTCCAATGGGAGAGCTCTGGCTCTACTGATGATGGATAGGCCCCTTCATGAGACTTGGTTTTCCTGGAATGAAGAAAGATTCTCCATTCGAGAGGATGACTAGGAGGGCCAAGGGAAGAAGTAGAGGCCCTCCTACTAGAAGCCCAGATTAGAAGTGAGAGGCATGATGGGGAGAGACCAGACTGAATCTACAGGTGAGCCCTGTAACCTGACTCTAGGGCACAGGGCTCTCCCTTGACACTTAGTGGACCTAATAAAGTATATTGATTCATTGGATCCAGCATCTCATTTCTACAACCCTGTGAGCCTGGTCCCGGTGAGAGGTGGCAGGAACAGAGCAGGCTAAAAGCACAGTTGTGGGGAATGAGGGAAACGGTTGAGCCATCCTATGAACTTCTCCAGGCAGGAGCAGCCCTACCCATCCTGGTAGTCTCGTACGAAGCAAGCATGCACATTCATTAAACTGAACTGTGCTTCCAGCTCTGCGTAGCCCCACTTAGCCACCAGGCCACACCTTGTTGGGTTTCTCAGCCTCTCTACTACTCACATAATGCATGCAGTAACAATGCACACACGCCATGCTTCCAGCGTTACTGGCAAAAGACCCCGCCTCCTAGGACTCCCCACTAACCTGCCTGCCATTCAGTCTCAGTATTTCTCTTCCAGTAACTCACCCTAACCCTTGGCCTGTCAGCATGCATCCTTTACATGCCTCTGTGTTGCCTCTGCTGTTTCTCTTCATGCCCCTGGCTGGAACCTACTCAAGAAAGAACCCTCAGGCTGAGGTCTACCTCCTGCATCATTTGTGGTTGGAGGAACCTTTTCTGAGACTCAGATCCAGCTAGGTTTTTCCTGTTAGTTCCTCTCTAGGATTTGAAATTAGTCTTTGTCACTGGCTTCCCTCTTGTTGGTTATGCCAGGAAGCTATGTACCTTAGGCAGATAATGTCTGCTTGGCCCCTTGGCCTTGCTAGATTATGATTTCGCTGAAGTGGAGCTGTGACCTTTGTCTTTGAATTCTTGAGTCCTTTGGATGGATGGATGAGATGTGGGTACAGCCTAGTGACTCAGGTTGTGGCCTTCCCAATTCAGGTTGTGTATCACTTCATCCTCTCCCTCCCCTGTCCCTCAGCACAGATATGTTCCACACTCCATTGAGCTGAGGCTTCTAAAGGTTTTATCCACTTGGCTGCCAAGGAAAGCACTGGACAACAGCCAGCCCTCTCCCAGAGAGCCCAGCTGACAGACTAGCTGTGACCACACAGACAGTAGGAGTGTGCAAATGTCCCTCCTTGTCCACGTTTTTTGTTTGTGTCCCAAGGAGATGTTTCCCTCTTAGTCAGGATCTGGAGTGTCAGGTCAGGCCTGGTAATGCTGAGGCTGCTAAAGATGATCTTCCGGGCTTATTTCTGAGGTCGACTGAGTCTCCGGAGTTTCTTGAGTTGACTGAGCAGCTCAGAGATAAAAGACTGAGGGAGAAACAGGAGTGAGACCAAGGCTTGGGATCACAATCCACCCCCCACCCTGCCCTCCCTAATCTTGCACTGACCCTGTCTCCCCAGAGGAGGGAGAAGGACCCACAGCCAAACCTTCCCTTCAAATACTCCTCTTCATTAGCTGCCTCCCCCACTGGGACTCCTCTTACCCCAGACCAGCAGAATGTTCCTTACCTCTGTGGGGCGGGGGCAGTTCCCGAGAATGGCCTAGATAGGAGAGAGCAAAGAGTAGCCCCCAAGTCACAGCACTTTCCCACAAGTTCCCACCAATCTCCCAAGAGTTCTCCCCTGTGGATTGGTTCTCTCCACTCCACCGAAGGAGGCAGAACCTGGGTTCCTGGGTTCCCCTTGACCCAAGGCCAGCTTCTAGACCCCATCCTACCTCCAATTGAGTCTTCTGCTCCTCTGTGGATAGATCCATGAGAGCCTCCAGGTCAATCTCTTGCTCAGAAGGGGTTGCTTGATCCTATTTGGAAATCACATGGGTCTCAGAGGGGCCTGACCAGCTGGTGCTGGAATGAAGGTAACTGTCAGGGACTCAACCCACCTCTCTCCAAATTCCCGTGGTTAGACTTTCTCCTCAGAACACCCATTCAGTTTTCCGTTCAACAGTAATTTACTAAACATTTACTATATTTTGGCCAGGTGAGGTGCCTGATGCCTGTTATCCCAGCACTTGGGAGGCCAAGGCAGGTGGATCACCTGAGGTCAGAAGTTCGAGACCAGCCTAGCCAACATGGTGAAACCCTGTCTCTACTAAAAATACAAAAATTAGCCAGGCATGGTGGTGGCTGCCTGTAATCCCAGCTACTTGGGAGGCTGCAGCAGGAGAACTGCTTGAACCTGGAACCTGGGAGGTGGAGGTTGCAGTGAGCCCAGAGAGTGCCACTGAGCTCCAACCTGGGTGACAGAGGGAGTCCTCATCTCAAAAAAAAAATGAAGACATCTGATAAGGGACTGTTTTCCAAAATAAACAATTCTTCACCCAGCACGGTGGCTCACATCTGTAATCCCAGCACTTTCGGAAGCTAAGGCAGGAGGATCATTTGAGGTCAGGAGTTCGAGACCAGCCTGGCCAACAAGGTGAAACCCTGTCTCTACTAAAAATGCAAAAATTAGCCAGGTGTGGTGGCACATGCCTGTAATCCCAGCTACTTGGGAGGCTGAGTCAGGAGAATGGCTTGAACCAGGAGGTTGCAGTGAGCCAAGATCATGCCACTGCACTCCAGCCTGCCTGGGTGAGACTCTGTCTCAAAAAAAAAAAAAAAAAAAAAAGCCAGGCACAGTGGCTCATGCCTGTAATCCCAGCACTTTCGGAGTCCGGAGGCAGGTGGATCATTTGAGGTCAGGAGTTTGAGACCAGCCTGGCCAACATGGTGAAATGCTGTCGCTACCGAAAATAAAAAATTAGCTGGGTGTGGTTGTGCATACCCATAATCCCAGCTAGTCCAAGCAGCTGAAGAAGAATTGATTGAATCCGGGAGGCAGAGGTGGTGAGGAAGGAGACCCAGGCATCTGGGATCACCTCCCCGCTTGAATTCCACACTGCATTTCAATAGAAGAAAAGGCTCGCCGGCTGGCGCCTCCTAAATCACATTCCTGTAAATAGCAGGCATGGCGTGAAGGAATCCTTCCAGAAGATATTGTTTTTACGTAAACAAGATCAAACCCCCACCCCACTCCTCCATCGACCAAGACCCTTTCATATGTGATTTCTAAAGCTGTAAACCCAAGACCCTTTCACTTGTAATTTCTAAGGCTGTGAACCTAAGATTCTTTCATGTGTAATATCTAGAGTATAAGCCTATAGAAAGGCAGAGCTTCTCTTTGTTAGAGGAGGTTGGTAATTTAGATAAATTGTTGCCTGGCTCCAAGCCAGGTCTGTTTCTTGCGGCTGCTCCTGCTTCAGTTGCAGTGAGCAGATCGCACCACTGCACTAGCCTGGGTGAAAGATATGAACAGACACCCCACGGAAGATATATAGATGGATAGTAAGTACATGAAAAGATACTGAATATCATATGTCATTTGGGAATGGAAATTGAAACATTCAAGTCATTCATTACTGATGGCAATGCAAAATGGTATGGCTACTTTGGAAGACAGTTTGGTGGTTTCTTACAAAACTAAAAAAAATTTTTTGAGACAAATTCTTGCTTTGTCACCCAGGCTGCAGTGCAGAGGCATGATCAAGGCTCACTGCAGCCTTGACCTACCAGACTCAAGGGGTCCTCCCACTTCAACCTCCCAAGCAGCTGGGACAACAGGTGCATACCACCACACCCAGCTAATTTTTTATTTTTTGTAGAGACAGAAGTCTCAATATGTTGTCCAGGCTGGTCTCAAACTCCTGGTTTCAAGTGATCCTCCCCCCTCCGCCTCCCAAAGTGCTGGGATTACAGCATTTAGCCACCATGACTGGCCCTAAACACACTCTTACCTTGCAATCCATTAATTGCACTCTTTGCTATTTACCCAAATGAGATAAGAACACATTAACAGGTCCGGCGCAGTGGCTCATGCCTGTAATCCCAGCACTTTGGGAGGCCGAGGCTGGTGGATTGCTTGAGGTCAGGAGTTTGAGACCAGCCTGACCAACATGGTGAAACCCCATCTCTACTCAAAATACAAAGTTAGCCAGGCATGGTGGTGGGCGCCTATAATTCTAGCTACTTGGGAGGCTGAGGTAGAAGAATCGCTTGAGCCCGGGAGGCAGAGGTTGCAGTGCGCCGAGATGGCACCATTGCACTCCAGCCTGGGCGACAGAGTGAGACTCTGTCTCAAAACAAGCAAGCAAGCAAACAAACAAAAAACACATTCACACAAAAACCTGCATAAAGATGTTCTATAGCAGCTTTATTCATGATTGCCAAAACGTGGAAGCAACTAAGATGGCCTTCCATAGGTGAATGGATAAACCAACTGGTGTGTCCAGAGAATGGAATATTATTCAGTGCAAAAATGAAATGAGCTATCAAGCCACGAAAAGCCATGGGGGAACCTAAAATGCATATGACAGTGAAAGAAGCCAGTTTGAAGCTAGTCAAACTGTAGCATGCACCTGTATAGTCCCAAGGAGTGTAGCCAGGACAGAAAAGGGAGAGACCGTGTCTCTAAAAAAAAAAAATGAAGAAGCCAACCTGAAAAGGCCAAATACTGTATGATCCCAACAATAAGACTGTTGGGAAAAGCCACATTACAGAGATGGTAAAAAGATCAGTGATCGCCATGGGGGTAAGAGGGAGGGCGGAACAAGAGCACAGGGGATTCTCAGGACAGTGAAACTCCTCTCTACGACGCTATTACGGTGGATATGTGTCACGCACATTTGTCCAAAACGACAGAATGTACAACACCAAGAGTGAACCCTAAACCATGGACTTTGTATGATAATGATGTGTCAGTCTAAGTTCATTGATTCTAACAAATAATGTATAACCTTGCTGCTGAGTGGGGGATAGTGGGGGAAGCTATACATACATGGGGACAGGGAGGTATGGGAAATATCTGTACCTTATGCTCAGTCTGTGAACCTAAAAGTGCTCTAAAAATAGGTCTATTATAAAAAAGACATGAGCTCAGCCGGGCGCGGTGGCTCAAGCCTGTAATCCCAGCACTTTGGGAGGCCGAGGCGGGTGGATCACGAGGTCAAGAGATCGAGACCATCCTGGTCAACACGGTGAGACCCCGTCTCTACTAAAACTACAAAAAATTAGCTGGGCATGGTGGCGCGTGCCTGTAATCCCAGCTACTCAGGAGGCTGAGGCAGGAGAATTGCCTGAACCCGGGAGGTGGAGGTTGCGGTGAGCCGAGATCGCGCCATTGCACTCCGGCCTGGGTA